GTCACCACCCTTTCGGTTTCGCAGCAGGGGGATCAGGCTTCCAGTGACTGACCTGATCCAACGAAGCTAGGTCACTGGAAGGGAAGTAGCTGAGGACGCTCAGCTACGTACCTGCTTCCCAACAAGGTACTCGAGACTCATCAGTTGTACTCGAGACTCATCAGTTGTACTCGAAAGATTAGCACTCTCCATCTGGAGTTTAAGTGTGTACACCCCATTCGTGGGGAATCCTCGGGTGTACCCATTGTGTGACCCCGGGCCGGCTCTGTCGGAAAATTTGACCTCAACGTGCGTATCATAGAACAGCGGAATTTCACATTTAACCAGGAACGAGGTTTCACTAAAGGGAAGAAAGCCGTCAGTTCATAGCGACGTCTCACCACAGTTGATAGCTGCCGATTTTCATTGCCTACCCTGACCATTGGTTGAACTTGTTGCTCGTATCACTGCGGTTGTCGATTGCTGACTTGTATTTGCTTTGCCTTGTACATTTCGCTCGACCATTGCAGTTGAGGGCCGCTAACTTGCATTTGCATTGATTTGAATGTTGTCGGGTCTGATTCTCTCAAGGTGGAAGTGTGCAAATTCAGATTCAGTTGCGTCACCATGTCTCGACGTGATGATCGTGATAGATCCAGGACTCGACGCAGACGTGATCGGAGTCCGTCCCCTCAAGCTCACAAAGCACGCCGACGTGAGCACAATGACAACCAGGTCTCGGAGAACATGGATTGGAACAACTTGGTTTCATGGCAACACAACTCCGGCTACAATGCTGCTAACAACTTTCCGATGGTGCCTATCAATTTTCAATCGACTCACAACCCCACACAGCAATTCCAACACCCGGCGATCAACTACATGATGCCGATCCCTCCTGATCCCACGCCATCCAAGTTCATGCCACCAATGATGCCACCACCGGTCACTACTTCCCAACCTACACCTTCACCTGGACCTCCTGCAGCTCTACCGGTTCGTCCTCAGAAAGCCTGGCTTACTCCATCGCCTGATTGGACACCTGGAGACGGCATGTTTGATGTCAATCAACTCTACAACTTCAGCCTGCCCATGACCGTTGCCAACACTCCACATGGCAACCTTCGCGACATGTCAGGCATGGATATTAGGGACGTACGCCTGGTTCAGGTTATCCACGGGGGCCTCACCAACTGGCTACTCAGGCCGTTTGCACACGGCCGATTCGTGACGTGGGAAGGCTTTCGCACCCGCACTGAGGCCTTACTTTGGAGTACCTGCTCCAAATTACTACGAAGATCGCAGTCACTCAACCTGCTCACCCTGGAAAAGGACCTTGCCAACACGCTGGGTCTCAACATTGATGACTTCAATCAGCGCATCAAGGTCCACGACCATTTGGCCAACCTGGTACTTCAATTTCTTCAACAACATCACACCTCTCTCGCACCTGCCGCCCAGACCGATGACATGGTCAAGAAGTTCAATGATTTGAATCGTGCACATGAACTTCTCCAAGCTCAATATTCCGCATCACTTCGCGCATCGACCTCGCCCACGATGACAAACCAGAAAGATGATGCAGAGTTGGTTACACCGCCACCGGTCAACCACACACCATCCTCGTCACCTGCCAGCTCCCTTCCCACAGCCAGCGCGGCCGCCCTGGATGGCAAGTCGTTTGATAGCGTGGTGCAACCTCGGATCATGCAGTCTCTTCACGGAGTGTCGTCACCGCCGTCCAAACCGGCGGCGTCACAGTTGCTCACCATGCACAGCACGCCGGATGAAGTTGTCAAGTACTACACATGGACCAGTGACCAACCTCGCCTTTTCCTCAAGCAAGCACCCACAACAACCACTTTGGCATCGCTGGTTAAGTGGGCCAATCACCCGTCCCGGCTCAACGGCAACAAGTCGTTAGATTCTATGGCGACGCAGCTTCTTCAAGCCAGGCAACGCATGCCGAAGGGCGATGCGCCCACACTCGGTGCAATGGCAGCATCATGGGGTCTTGAACCCGGGTACCTTACCAAACTCACTGAGAAGGCATTGAGTCACCTCATCGTGACCGCTCGCCTGCTTTGTGGATGAGAAGGCATCATGACGACCTTCGTTCTCATATGAGCCCGGAGCGGCAACAATGTCACGGATGAGTCCAGGTGAAAACTCGTCCGTCAAATGTTTGCGTTGCACATGATTGATCTTGTACTTGCTTGTTCTTGCATTGCCTCTTGTGTGATGGTCTGTGATGCTTGTATTCATGTCGCCGCCTTGTGGTAGATTTCGTTGGTTGCATCTCACCATGTTGGATGAACTTCGCCGCTGCGGAATCTATGATGATGTTGCACAATGGCAGTCGCTGGACGACCTTCTGCACTCGTTGACCACATTCTCGACGTGCTGGCATTACTGTTTCCCTGGACTACCACCACCGTCGATTCCAATTGAGGAGTACGAATCCATCACACAATTGCCGTGGCTGGGTCTCATCCTCGAGGTCTTAGTTGTGGTCCGGATAGCCCTCCAGATTCCGAATTGCGCTATGTCCAACTCTCATCACACCGTGGCCAACAGGTACGAACTTCACAGATGTCGGTGCGCTGCCTATTTATTGATCAGTTTCTTACAACGTCTCATTTCACAGGATCACGGCTACTTCCCGCCGTTCTTCGAAGTCCTTCACTTCTACAAGACTTCTCTCTTGTGTGAAATCATGCACTCAACTTTCGCTGACACGCGACATCTACGCTCATTGCGGGCGCGATTTCCTGACCTCTACGACTTCATACATGATCCAGGTCATCACCAACAACCGTGCGTCTACATTCGACTTTCCCCATGGCACACACCATACTATGTTGGGGCGACTGATCAGGATGTTCTACGTCGTGAACACTCACGCAGTCGCAAATTTCTACAACTACTTCGTGGACGGCATGCCTTCTTTGAACCGGCGCTTCACTACTGGAAACGATCCAATACTTACTGGCTCTTCTGTGCTGTACCAGTGGAAATCAAACTTCCAGTTTCCTCGGTGTGGGTTCAAGAAAGCAAATGGCAATACCTGCTACGCCCGCATTTGAATGCGCCCTGGGTACACAGAATCTTGCGCAAGGTGGGCTTCCGGGAACATCTTGTTGATTTTCGACGCCACTCGTTGTCGTCTCCCACTTCCCTCGGCTTGCACAAGCGCTTTCGACGACGACTACATCCGGATCTCCAACGACAACTACGACCTGACGCACTGGATGACATTCAAGCCCACTACTCGATTCTCTATCAGCTGGGATCGAATACAGGAGCGTCGTTCCAAGTCATGCGTGACCTACTGTCGGCCGCCTTCCCTCCCACTCAGCTGTACTACTTATTGCGGCTCGCAGTTTTCGTCAACGAACCCTTCCGCTCCAAGGCCCAGAAGCTCCTCGCCCAGGTACTGCGCAAACGACGGCTACAACCACCCTCCACTTTGACACAGCTACTTTTGCCGCCGCTACATGTCCAAAATTGGAAAGCTCTACTTGGCACATGGTTACAAAACTGGATTGCTTCCCATCGGGATCTGTTCCCTTCTCTTTTCATTCCAAAGATCCGGGTTGTGGAAACCCGCAGCGCCACATTGGGCGACAAGATATACAACTATCGCACATGGCAGCGCAAATGGACGCCTGACACATCCTTTCCGTGTCGCTGTTTGGACATCGATGACCACCATCTACTCCGTGCACATGGTCACGCAGTAATGGTGGATGACTTTTCTCGCATCAATGCGGACATCAACGTGGAAATCATGGCCGCCTCAATGAAGGATCAGTTTTTCAGTGATGTCGACCTATTGCATCAACGTTTCACCACGCAACTTCGCAAACTTGCTCGACGCTGGCATGTACATGGTTCCGATCTACTTCCAGATCTACAACCGGTCGTGGCTCAGTTAATGGAGACCCATCGGATCAACCTCCAAGATCAGGCTTATTGGTCATCGGCATCGTTGCAACGCACTGTGGCCTCTTTGTCTTCATGGGTAGTTATCCCAGCGGATCATTTTCCCTCCCGTGCACATGTAGTGTGCCCGTCCCTGTTTGCCATATTGATGCGGAAGACATTCTGCGCGGGGTTTTCTCACTTTGCCGCGAATCCGCAGCATCGTTTCGCTCTGAAGTGGTAACCACGGTACCTTCTCTCCTACGTCAACGATACGCATGGGGACTTCGACTCCAAGCACCGTTGCCCACAGCGCGCATCCTTCCAAAGCCGACCAAGGACTGGCAGAAAGCTCGGCCCATCATTTCATTCTTTCGCACATGGGCGGCTCCCTTCCTCACGGTCTTCGGTGCGCTCATATTTGAACTCACCAGGGCGGCTTTCCCCGACATTGCAGGTCAACTCCCGGTACAAGAACTTATCCAGCAGCTGTGGGAAGCACTGTCAAAAGCAGATCCTGATGAGTACATCCACCTGGTGTCGCAAGACTTGTCAGGCTTCTTCACGTCCATTCCTACGGAACGATTCCATCAGGCGCTTCAAGTGCTTCTCCATCGATATGATCAAGTTGTTGGCCTTCGCAGTTCCTCGCAATGGTCCGTGTACGAAGTCAAGTCAGATCATCGACGCCGTATGTTCAAAGGAAAGTGGCGCCGTCAAACCAAGATCCCTCGAATCTTTCGTGAACAAGATCTCCGGCACCTCCTCGACTTTGTCATTGACAACAGTCACTTCGAGATCAACGGATACTTGTTCCGCCAAGAACGAGGAGTCGCTATGGGATCACCAGCCGCGCCACCGTTGTGCAATTTGGTTGCTACGGTTGAGGATTT